AAAAAAAAAAAAAAAAAAAAAAAAGATACAGAAGCAGCCGGCAATTTGAGGTGGCCCGAGGTAACAACAAAAAAAAGTAAGGTAAATTTAATTTTTAAATTTTCCTTACTTTTTGGGATTTTTAGAAGTTAAAAGGGGATTTAAAAGAAGAGGCTTGAGTTAATCTTGGAAATTGTTCCAAGAGATATTTTTGGAGTTGCTTTTAAAGGGGATTTGACATGTGGCATAAGTAATTATGGTGTGAAAAACAATTTATTTAATTAAAATATTTAGATTTATCTTTATAAAACCAAGTGTTGGGGGTATTGTTTACATCATAAATTGTAAAATTTTAAATTAATGTCACGTGTAAAATATTTTTTATTGGTTGGAAGAGATTGAGCCATGTCAGATTTGGATTCTGGGTCCATGACAGATAAGCACTTGTGTTGGCAAAATAGGAGAGGTAAAGATAATATTTTATGGAGTAATTATCTTCTTGAGATAGAAAGGAATAATGGGAACTGAAAAATAGGAGAAGATTGTAGTTAAAAATGGGGTTTTATCTGATAAGAGTATAGGTGACGAAATCTGCAAGGAGATTAGATCAGGTCAAAAGGTGAGTTATCCCACTACTTCAAGGAACCACCCATGATTGAGTAACTGCAGAAAGTGGAAGTTACTACCGGCACAAGGAAAACAAAAAGGAAATTTTTGCAAAGGAGAACACACGGTCAGCCCTACTCAAACATCTGCAAATTTTCAGACTTTATTTTCTCTACAATCTGCTTCCAGATTTCGAATTTCAACACAGATTCCAATAGAATTAGGTTGTTTTTCATCATTTCATTAGGCAAATTAATTCATGTATTCAGTTCAAAAATTTCCTTTCATGCAATGAACTTCAATCTTTCAAGTTTATGCAAGGTATTGTTCTTTTTCCATTTGCAATTAATTTAATGTTTATGATAAGTAGCATTTTATTCAATGATTACTTATGTGGTGTTCATACCTCTTTTCAACCTCAAGCATGGTAATGTAATTACTGTTCACGTTAATTTTAAAGTTAATTAGGGTGAAGTCTTTAAGTCTGCAACATTTTAATTTCTAGATCTGCCAGGACATAACATTTTAATTTAACAATGAACATATTTAGTTTAATTTGGGTACAGCTTTTTCTCACAAATTTACTTTAAATTGTAGGTTATTTAGTTCAGTTAGGATTTGTTAATTTTAAATCACGGTAGTGTTTAACTCTTTGGAGTTGTCCAAGGCAGATTTCGTAACCCAATCTGCAGGAAGGTATCCTTCCCTCTTGCAAACCGTCTGAAGGCGCAATTTCAATTTTAATCCAACGTTCTTCCCGCCATCCATAAGGAGGTCGACTGTGAAGAAGGAGAGGGTTGTTGAGAAAGTCCTCCTTTCTTACTTTCAGCAAAATAAGTGGCACGTCCACATTCAGATTTTACACGTGCGAGGCCACTAGAGGATTTTTGGGGAAACAATTATAAAAATTGTTAAAATCATTAATACATCTAGAATAAATCCCTAATGAATTTTTAAAAATCTTTAATAAATTGTTTTAAAAATTTTAATAAATTTATTAAAAATACTCATAAAATCTCAAATAAATATTCAATAAGTCTCTCTTAAAAGTTTAAAACCCATTGCAAATTTAAGAGTAATATTTCAATTCAAATAGTATATTATTACTTAGGTTTAATTCAACTTTCAAACTTTAATTCTAATTCTAATTAAATTTCAACTCCAACTTTAATTATTATATATTATATATATGACTTCTAGGAGTTACATTATTATCTAACTATTGTTCTTATTATATTATAAAAATGGTTAAATTCTTCAATAAATTTTGAATAAATATACAATGAACCTTTTAATATTCTCAATAAATTATTAATAAATCTTCAATAAATATTAAAAAATTATTTAATGGGCTTTTTAAAATTTTTAATAAATACAAAATAAATAATCAATAGATTTTTTAAAATATAAGCCTAATTATATCTTATTATATTATAAAAGTTGTTAAAATCATCAACAAATCTCAAAAAATACTCAATAATCATTTTAAAATTTTTATTAAATTCCTTTAAAATACTCATAAAATTTCAATTAAACAAATAAATGCTTAATTAACCTTTCTTAGGAAAATATGGGCTTACAACAATTGTACCGTACTTCAACATTATCATCATTATAATATAACAATATTAATTAATTAATATAACAATAATAATTATATAAAACTTACTTTGACATTACCATTATAATATAATTTTACTTTAATTATTTCAATTATATTTCAGTATTCGAATTGCACAAAAAAAATGCAATCCTTATTGAGAAAACACTTTTCTATTTTTGTAATATCCCAAAATTTTGGGATATTTTAGCATTTAATTGAGGACTTATTTGAGGAAAAATATTGTTTTGGGGCTTAATCATAAAATTTTCAAAAGTTGGGGGACCTAAAAAGAAAGAAAATAGGATAAGGATCAATTGCTTTTTCTTTTTCTTTTTTCTTTCTTTCTCCTTCCTTATCCGCGCATCTGCTCTTCTTTCTTCTCCCCTGCACCCGACAAGCCCCCCCAGCCACCGACGCACTCCTCTTGAGAAATTCGGCAAAAAGGCTTGAATTTTCCTCTTCTTTTCTTGTTAAATCATGAGATTTGGGGCTTAGAATCTTCCCTCTCAACCCAGAAATCCCAGATCTGCGCTGTTCTTCCCCTTGCTGTCCGTCGGCTTCTGCTATATGTGATTTCTTGGCATTTTTCGGTAAGCCACAGCCATAGACTTCACCTTTTCAACTTGAATTTGGCTTGGGTTTACCTTGAATTGTGTTTTGGTTTTTGGATTGGGTAGCCGCGAGTTCCCCTGCAGAATTTCTTCTTCTCTGCCGCCGGCTTCCCCTCCAACTCCCGCCGGTTGCCAAGCTCGCCAGACCCGGTTTGCTAGCCGGAAATTTGGGTAGGTAGCAGCTCTCCCAGTTGGATTTTTAATCCCTTGAGTGCTGCCTTGTGTTGTCCGAATTTTGCTAAAATGAGGGGAGGAATTCCGGTAGCATTTAGTAGCATTTAAATGTGTTTTTGTGCTTGGTTTATGTAGAATTAACTTAATTTGGCTACTGTGAATTTTATAGAGAAAATCCCGTGAGATTAGCTAGTGTCTTGCCCAAATTTTTGAAGTTTCCGTCACTGTTCACTGCGGATCACTGTTCACGGGTACTGTTCACACACCGAGGGTCAACGATTAACGGGGATTTAAATGTTTAGTTTGTAATATAAGGATAAATTTAGAGATGTCCGGTTATGTGGAGATTGATAGAAATAGCACTATGATTAGGGGTAGTGCTAAAGATGATTTCACTGTAAATTTGTGGTGGTATGGTTATTAATTGTGGAATATTGTGATTAGGTTTTGATCGTTCTGTCACCATAGCACTTGGGTTAGCCTTCAGTTCTGTGCGAGTGAGGTAAGTAAATTATGGTAAAGCCCTTCAATTTTAAAGCATGTTTTAAATTGTTTTTGAGATGGTGGCAAGGTTTAAACTGATTTTATCAGCATCTGAGTGTAATTAAACTAAAATGAAAATTGTGATGATTTTTATGAAAATCATTGTTTTTCTGGAATTGAGTGTGATTGGAATGGAAATGGGAATTTCATTGTTTTTCTGGAATTGAGCATGACTGAGATGAAAATGAGAATTTCATTGTTTTTCTGGAATAGAGCATGCCTATTTGGAATTGACTGAACTGTTTTGATGAACTGAGAGTTTGCAAATTCTGAGTTTTCTGATAAATCCATGCCCACATGGAATTTTCTGGTTATTTCTGAAATTTGGGATTTCGATTGTGAATTACGGATTTCGATTGTGAATTACGGATTTTTTTGGTAAATCTTGCATGGTTTTGTCTCTGATACGATCATGACTTCTGATCCCCGCTAGTGGGTGTAATGCTAGCATATGTCGACATGTTTACTGATATGACCGGTTTATTCTGACGCTTGCCACTGGGCAAATACATTGGCACATTCCGACGCCTGCCAATGGGCGAACACATTGGTAAATTTCTGTCGCTTGCCAGTGGGTTGTTATAACACTGGCCATGACTTATAGATGAGACTATTACTGAATTTGATTCTGATTCTGCATTAATGGTTTTGTCATTTAACGTTTTGCTATTGAACTGAATCTGATTTTGTCATTGAGCGTTTTGTTATATTAAACTGTTTATCAGGCATGCTAAAAGTTTTACCCAAGGGCTATCCATATTTACTTACTGAGTTATCTCATAGTTTTCCTTGTCCACCATTTCAGGAAGCGAAACCAAGGACGGGGAAACCGAGGGGAGTGACGAGTTAGAAGGCTAGCCATTTTGTAAAGTGAATATAGATTTGAGATATAGATCATGATCTTGTAAATTGAAGTTTAATTGGAGATTTTATAAATTCATTTAATGGATTGCTAGTTTACCAGAGATTTGACCTGGAGATTTTGAGATTAAGTTATGTTGGACATAGAATTGTTTTGAGATGATTGATTTGAGTTATTGGATTGTCAGATGTGATTTGAATAAGTTCCGAGCCTTGTGCATTCGTGGGATCCTTTCACGAGTGCATGGCGTCTGTCGCGCCTCGGACTCGAGTTCTGGGGCGTGACAATTTTTTATAATCAACAATTTAATTTTTGTTATAATTATAATCAATGTATTTTTTTAATAGAAATATGTGATCCTTTTTTTTATAGGTTAAACTTTCATGATGGAGGACAGAGGAGACGACTGAGAAGGAATGCAGAAAAAATTAGGGATTTGTGTTGGCCGTTATAAATGATCCTCTTTCTCAAAATACAAGGGCACAATGGGATAGAGCAATATTCATTAAGTAAAGGAGAAGCACCCGCAAAGATATTAAGATTTCCATTGTTTTGAAAACCGAACTAGATTTGCCTATTGAATCGATCGAACTGATACTCGGTAGTGGAAACGGGTTGAGTTGGTATTTCAAACCATTTAGAGGGTTAAATAGCTTAAAATCCCTCAAATCATCTAACCGATTGGGCCAACTATTTAGACAAAATTTGTAAAGTTTGTTGCCTCTGGGTTTCAAATACAAGAGCTCATGAGGCTTTTGGCAACTCATTTGCCACCAGAGCTACAGAACCCTTAAATGAATTATAAAGACTGTTTTAAAGAATATCAAAAGGAAAAAACTCAAGGTTACTTCAATGAGATTTGAATACTTACTCTCTTGCATGTTTGGAATAGCTTTTACTGACTTTTGATTCCTTTAGATATATTTATTATATTAGAATTACATAAATAAATAAGTTTAATACATTTGAAACTCAAACTCAAATCTCATATGAAATAGATAAAGGTTTCCAACCGCTAAAGCTAGTTTTAACTTTTAGAAATGAATTATATTATCTTATATTTAGTATAGATTTTCAAAATTCAATCAATTCGATTTTAAATCGATTAAATCAATTCAACCACTAAAATTATGAACCAAAAATCAAAACTGTTTGATCTCCAATTCAATTTTGAGAACAATGAAGATTTCATTTGATAAGGCTCCTTGCTTTTATACTTTAAAATTTTGATATATTTTTAAAGTTTAAAAGAATATAAAATATTAATTATAATAAATATTAAATATGTTAAAGCAATTTTTATATATATTTAAAATATTAAAGAATTAAAAAAATTTAAGTTTAAGTACCATTTTAGTCCCTCAACTTATCACTTTGGTACCAAAATTGTCCCTCAGCTTTAAAAAGTACCAAA